CGGTGCGCATGGCTCAGCGTGAGCCCAGGTCCCCTGGAAGCCCCTTCCCTCGAGTGAGCCCACCCCCGCGGCCCTGCCCGCAACAGTTGGCTGCAGTTCCTTTGCCCCCTCTCCCAGGGCCTCCTGCCGACCTGGCCATTTCCGAACCAGAAGTAGGCCCCCCTCTTGCCCTCCTCAGATCCCCCCCCCCAGGCGGCTTCTCTTCCTTCTGGGGTTCCTGTCCTTTCTTTAGTGAAGAAGGCAGTTGTTTCCTGGCAGCCAGAGGCCCCGCTGAGGGACCTCTGGGGGGTCTTGCTCCCCTGGACGGGAAGTTGGACCCCACCTCTGGAGGTGGCTGGATGGGAGCCCAGTAAGTGGCCTCCTCCTGCTGAGGGATACCTTCCTCTGATGGCCACTCTCCTGCACCTCCTGTCCCAGTGCGGGTAAAGGCAGTGTTGTGCCCGAGTTTGCTGATGGACTCCTGCCGGATGCTTCCATCCTACAGATGGGTGGGTTTAGGCCCAGAGAGGTGAAGCCTGGTGCCCAAGGTCACACAGCTAAGAAGCAGCATGCAGAGCTGCATCTTTTTGACTCTACAGTGGGCTCTTATCTGGACCCCCTGCAGCCTCCGGGGCATACCTGGGCTTCCCGTTTCTGTTCTCACACTGTGCTGGGTGGGGTAGGTCTCCCCACCTGTTCAGCGGACTTTGAGCCCCTGCCCAGTTAGACACGCTGAGGCCTGAGTGGTGAGCAAGTGGGCATGTCCTGGATCCTTCCCTGAGGCTGCTGTTCTCACCGGGACATGAGCAACACTCCAGAGGTGTGGAGCAAAGGCCTGGAGCCCAGGAAGCATATCAGGGTTCCAGATTCGGTGGGGGGTTCCCTTTCTGAGGCCGACGCTTGAGCTGACCTGAGAACGAGCGGGGAGTGGTTGCAGCACAGCTGGTGCAAAGGCCCCGAGGCAGGAAGGAGCCGAAAGCCCAGAGTGAGCTCGTTTCTTGGCAGCCACGGGCGAGCCTGGACAGCTGCCCGATCCTCTCTAGTAAAGCTCGCTGGGGGTGTCATGATGTGATTCAGGCTGACGGGGCAGAAGCAGCCGGAAATTGGGCCAAGAGAGGTGTGTTGGCTCATCTGCGAGTTTAGGGGGATCTGGAACTGGGGGAGGGGCTTTGGGGGCTGATGCCTGGGCTCCATTGGCTTCAGATCTTGGGGTCTTCATCTTGTTCTCACGTTAGCTGACCCTGGGACTTCTGGCGGGATGAGGGTGACCAGAGGACCCAGAGCTGCCACCGGGTGTGTGTGCGGGGGCAGGGGGTGTCTGCAGAGGCCATTTTGGACAGGCCTGCGTGGCAAGGAGGCTGCTTCCGACACATGCCGGGGAACACACACGCTGGGAAACGCAGCCAGGAAGGAGGAGGGCCCTGGACTCAGCGGCTGTGAGGGATGTGAATCATCCCGCAGGCCTTCCTCCGCCGGCCTTGTGGGGGGCGGGGTGCTCCCTGAGGAAGCTGCAGCCTGCTCTCCTGCCTCGGTTTCCCCATCTGTAAAGGGCTGGCCCCAGGCTGGCCTGCGCACATTTTCAACCCGGCTTTGTTTCTGGGAGGAGGCCTTCATGGCCACTGTTCCAGGCAGGATTTGCCACCCGGGGGTGGGGTCCAGGGGCCGGAGAGCTGATGTGAGTGGCAGATGGCACATGTACATTCATCCCTGGTCCTGGCTGTCACCACAGGTGAGGACATGGCTTGGGCAGGGGTGGAGGATGGCAGGGGCACTGCCCCTTGGGAACCTCACCTGCCCTGGGCTCCAGCCAGACCTTGGGCAGTGTCTCACCACATTTTCCAGCTGGTCCCACAGCCTCCTTGCATCTGGCCAGCTGCACCCGGGGGACTCCACACTCAGGAAGTGCCCTGTCCCAGCCACCTGAAGGAGAGGCTGGCTGGCTGAGGAAAGACTGATCAAGCTGGGCTTTGCAGGATGTGTAAGAGTTCTCTTCATAAGCCGGACATTTCAGGCTCAGGGAATGGCTCATGAGAGAATGGAGGAGGGATTTCAAGTGGTCAGGTAGTGGTAAGAGTGGCTGGAAAGAGGGAAGGCCACCGATGCTTCCAGACCCCTCCCCTAAACTGAATGAGGGTGGGGGGGAGTTCCCTGGGAGTTTTGGGAAATGCTAAGGCTG